AGTACCAACAGAAAAATATCAACTCCTTCCTTCCCTCCCTTTCTCCCTCCCCCTCCTTTTCTTTCTTCCTTCCCTCCTTCCTTCCTTTCCGTCATTCCCTCTTTCATTTCCTTCCTTCCCTCCCTTTTTTTTTTTTGTCTAATTGGGAAGAATAACTAGTTTCTTTTATATTTTATAGTCAAAGTATTTAGTGGGACAAACAGCTAAGCAACACACCTCCTGAGTAGTTAACACCACAGGTAAAGTTTTTTGCTTTGCTCTTTTTGGAATTCCTCTTTCTTCGTAGGAAGAAGGTGTGTATAATTGTTCTATCTTCGTGGTGTTGACAGAATCCCCCTCTCCCCCAAGCACCTAATATTTCATCAAAACAGTCAATGTATTTCTTTTCCTGGTGGCACCTGGGTTTGAACTCGGCCTCAGCCAACAGTCAGTGCATTTCTCGTGAACTCCTGGAACAGTACTTTCCCTAGGTGACTTCATAGACTGTAGGAAATTTTTAATTTGCATCCCCTGGAATATTGATCTTCAGACTTTCAGAATGCTAAAAACTACTTATGCAAGATGATGACTTCATTTTTTTTTTAAAGGAACATGGAGTCTCATTTATTATTGGGGTACTGACATTTGAACTCAGGGCCTCATGCTTGCTAGGCAGGTGCTCTACCACTTGAGCCACTCCACCAGCCCTGGCTTCATTCTTTAATGTGAGGTAAATTTGGAAACTTTTTCACAATCCTGATTTTATTGACAACACAGTTTCTGGTCAAAGTTCTGTATAAGCCTTCCGTTTAGGCCTTTTCCTCATTTTCTTTTTTTCTCCTCTTGACTGAAGTGGAGAGCAATTTTCAAAGTCCCTGCTGATTTCCCAGACTTTTGTTGAGGTGGCAGTTGTTGCAGATAGTCCTCTTTGAGGGATGGAAGCAGTCTTGGATATAAACCCCCTTCTGTCATTGCACGGTCCTACAATTTTTAAGTTCTGTGATGTTTTAGTACATGGTTTTGGAGCTAAGTAAGTTTTGGAACTTTTGTGTGATCTTTCTAAACAAATCAGGATGTTAAAAAAAAAGTTTAAGCTGATTTAAAAAAAAATTTTTGGTAATACTGGGGTTTGAACTTAGGGTCTGGCTCTTGCTAGCAGGTGTGCTACCACTTGAGCCACACCCCCAGTCCTTTTTGCTTTAACTGTTTTTCAGATAGGGTCTAGTGCTTTTTCCAGGGCCTGAGCAGCCTCAGGTCATGGTTCTCCTATCTCTTTCTCCCCAGAAGCTGGAATTACAGGTGTACACCAAGCCCAGTACTTCAAATTGAATGTTTCAAGGATGACTAAAAATTTTTTAATTAGGTTTTAAAATTTTTATTCTGAGTATGAAGTGTGTATGTGCTTAATTATAGAAAGGTTGAAAGAAAGAATAAAGGTAAATTTATTCATAATTCTAAAGAGAAGCTAAATTTCTCCCTTTTAAAAAAAAGGTTTTATTTTATTTCTTTGACTTCTTAATTCCGCATGATATTTGCACCACTAAGGTCAAACTGTGAATGGTTTTCTTCTTTCCCTCTTTTCACAGAGGTGATGATTTTTAAAGCGTAATTCAGTTATTACTTGCAGGAGGCCCCAAGTCTTTCTGCATTGTTGAAAGCAAGCAAGCTTGTTCAGTACTTCATGTGTTTCTGGAAACGACTGCTGACCTGCCCGTAGCAGGACCCTGAATCCATACCGTGCCGATGCTCTCGTATGTGGTCTGTGATGTGTGACATAGGCACTTCTCTCCCAGCCTCTAGGAGTCTGTTTGCTTCACAGGTTTCTGGGCTGTCATTGGAAGTCAGGGAAGGAGTGGTGCTTGTGGCACAGCTGTATGAGTTTCCATTTTTTCTTAACCTTATTAGATCTGAGTTCTACACTATTTGTAGTTTGAGGTGTTTCATTTTCCATTCCCTTTTTAAAAATAAAAAGTGCAACATGCAGTAACACTAAGAGCAACGTGGCAGTGAACTTGCACAGAGACGAGGATGAAGGAGCAAGTGTTGCAAGAAAGGCCCACAGGGATCCCGGTGCTGCTTTACAGACACTTGTAGTGTTGGGCAAGGGCGCTGTGCACAGATGGACATATTCCTGCAGCTCATTTTAGCCAACTTCAGACTAGGTTGCTGAGGGTCTCCTCATTTTACTTTTTAAATTTTTTAAGTCAATTGAGTTAAAGATAATTTTGAGGATTTTGAATGTTGGGTGAGTTCAGAGCCAGTGTTGCCATTTTTCACTGTAAGCATCTTGACAGGCACTTGTATTGGAGCTATGTAGAAAATTGAGTCCCTTTCCTCTCTAGGGAGCCATGGTCACTTCTCCAAGCAAACATTCAGAACATTTATTCAGAAGGAATAAAGTCAAAGCCAGAATTGAGGTGGCATAGCTGTGAGGGTCAAGTACAAACTGGCACCCATGGCCAAGGCTTAGGCAGACATTTTCTTCCTCTTTTGACTTCTAACAGGAATATGTATCAGTTGTAGGGAACTAGGAAAATAAAAATCACCTCCAAACTCATCACTTAAAGTTACTGAGCTAGGCAGTTTGGGCTATTTCTGTCAGCGTCACTCCAGTGTGTTTCCATGTAATTTTAAGCTTTTTTACTTTGAATTCACATCTCATTTTATTCTGAGAACAAGATACTAGTTGTAAGTGGACGAACAGGCAAAACTTTAGTCATACTTGTGAGGGGAGGTTGCTTCAGAGAGAACCTTATGCAGACCCTCCCAATGACACAGTGAGCCTTGAACTCTGTCACCTTGTTGTTGACAGAGAGACTGGGGAGATGCAGCCTGCTGTTAGCTGCACTGTCTCTCTGAGTAACTTTTGTTCAGCTGACTTCCCTGCTTGGCCAGTCTTTCCTTTTGTTGTTGGGTACTTGTAGTCGGGTTTTTCTGATAACTCAGAAAGCATCAAACCTTGCAGCCTGAGTTTTGTGCTGCCCATCAGCCCTCTCATTTGACTGAATTTACTAAGTAATTCTGCCATGACCCATTTAGGTAAACCAGTGCTGTTGGTTCCATACAAATACATTTAGGTTTATAATGGGAGTATTCCTTCCCACCAAATTGTAGAAAGCATAGTAGTGTGAATCCTTTTAGTAATACGTTTTTTTTCACTGGGTGCAGTGGTTCATGTCTGTAATCCCAACTACTTGGGAGGATCACAATTGAAGGGCACCCTGGGCAAAAAGTTGGCGAGACCCCCATCTCAATCAGCGAGCCAAGCGTAATATGTATGCTTTTTGTCCCAGCTACATGGAGGCATGGGTAGGAGTGGGAGGATTGAGGCCAGGGCTGGGCAAAAACTTTAGACCCTACCTGAAAGATAACTAAAGCCAAAAAGTGCTGGGGGTGTGGCTTAACTGGTAGAGCACCTGCTTAGCAAGTGTGAGGCCCTGAATTAAAAACCTCAGTAAACAACAACAAATATATATCATATATTATATATATATTATATGATATTATAATATTACATGATAGAGGTGATGACTTAGGGATGCTCCAAGCCAGTGTATCTTCAGTAAGCATTGTGCCTGTTGTGAAAAGGCAGGCATGCTGCCTGTGAGGGCTGAGCCTGCGGCCTGTGGCCTGAGGCTTTGTTGAAGAGTTGGTGCTTAGTAAACAGGTGGAGAATTGAATTGAAACAAACTTTCCTGGGCACTTCCTAGGAATTTCTAGGGTTGCAATGGACATGTACGACTCACAGACATTTCAGAATCTGTGAGTGTCATCATTTCTTAAAAAAATTAACTCTTTGCTCCAGATTAACTCAGATATTGACACCAAAAACTTTTCCCTTTTTTTCTGTAAGCATCTCAAGGTAGTTCCTGCTTTATGTTCAGTATGTTAGTGAAAGGGAAGAATAGTGGGAGATTCATTTAGTGTCCATTTTCTGCCACATCTGTCCACCTTCCTTCTTTAAAGTGAAATTAGCAAAATCTTGTTGCAACCAGATGCATATGTCTGAGCTCCCTTTTTTGTCACTTAATCACTGAGATGCGTCCTTATCGCTTGTCTAAAACAAAGAATGTAGAATTTTTTTCTTTCTCTTTCCAAAGATGTTTGTAAGAGAAGGGTTGAAAATGTGAATCCTTATTCCACTCCCCTTTGAAACACTCTGTTATGAAAATCTTGAAACATATAGAAAAGTTGAGAGACTTGTCTGGGTGAACATTGGTTATATATTACCCATTTCTCACCCAGTAATCCCTTTTGTGATGCAGTTACAGTCAGCTGTGTGCATCAGTGCATTTCACCTTCAGATTCTGTGCACACCTGTTAGCTTGCTCTCCATACCTGTGTAGTTTATCAGAGGCTCTGCGCTGCTCTTAGTCCTTTAAGCTGAGGTTGTGGCTGTGGCCTTCATCTCTGCGGCTCTTGAGTCATGGGGAGGCTGTAAAGGGCGCTCTGCGCCTTAGTTCTCATTTTCCTCAAGTGTTGCATGTGGGTGTCAGGTGTGAGTTCACAGTTCAAAGGTTAAGGCTGAGGAGGCCCAACAAGCAGTAGAAACAGGCTGGTCCCAACTGCAGCTGGGCTTTGTTTTCTATGGAAAACATTTACTTGAAGAATTACCACTTTTGACTACTGTATTTTAATATGACTACCATAAGCAAAAGTCAGTTATGTTTCCAAGTAATAAAGTAGAAGAGAGTTCAAATTTTGGTACAAGTAAAGCCCCTGCTTATAGCGCTTGACGTTAGTTCTCAGTGTGTTGGCTCTGTGACCTTCAGTGGGGCCACGCAAGCCCTGTGTCACAGCAGCTACTCAGCACATTCTGATTAGCGGGCCAGGGCGTTTTGACTAGAGTGGCCTTCAGACAGCGAGCTCCTCAGGCTGTAGTGTCTTCCTGAGATGCCACCTGCCTCCTGCTGGCTTCCCCTCTGGGAAATCTCATGGCTGCATTCTGAATGATTGTCCCCTTACTCTTGCTCTTTTTAGAAAGTAATTCACAATTCAGAAATAGCAACTCCAGCCATAAACTGCTTTCATGTGTGTCACATTTCTGTTCTAGAGAGTTATTGATAAGCTTAAAGCTGGACATACTAGATTTGAAATACTGACGTTATGTCTGGTGTTACCTCTGCTCGATCCTTCTCTATTAATGAACAAAGAGATTTTTTTTTAACGAGGTCCCTCTTTCCATCTGTAATTACCGATGTAAGATGCATGGAATGTCAGTCCCAGCACCTAATCGCAGCTACATGATGATGGCTGCCATACAGTGCGGGAGCATTGGCAGAGCCCCTGATCGATCGACTAGACTGTGAGCATCCCATGGTGCTTATTCTGTGGTGCTGCACCACATTGGTCCCTGGTGGACAGCACCCTGACTGCAGAGCCCCGGGTGTTCCATCCAGCTGGCATGCCCCCTCACTGAGTCGCACTGTTCATCTGTTCTCAGTGGGTAATTGTCTCCTGAAAATTGTAGAATTGGTGTTTCTGGTGCTTTGTGGAGGAAGCCATTGCTTAATGCCAAGTGTTAAACCTTGTCTATTTAATTCTCTTGAACCTGTGAGTTAGATGTGGTTCTGGTTTTATTGCAGAGGATGCTGATGAGGTGACCTGTGGAAGGGGAGTGAGAACTGGATTCACTTCTGCCCTGACCTTACCATTCTCTCTGCCCACAGCCCTGTGTGTGAGGATTTGGCCTTTGTTTCTATACAGAAATTGGGGAATTGGGGAAAGTTTATACAAAATACTTGCACTCTGGAAAACGAGTTTCCTTGAAAGAATAAGGTCAAAAGAACTAGGTTCAACTCACACTGTTCCTTCACCTTGATATAGGAGTTTCTCCTTCCCTACTCTCTCCTCTGTAAGAGGAAAATGTTAGTGACAGGATTCTTTAGGATAAATGATGCACTGTGTGTGTGTGTGTGTGTGTGTGTGTGTGTGTGTGTGTGGTGTGTAATTCCTTGAGATCATAGGAGTGTGAGGTGATGTTTGCTGTTACACTTTGGTGGCTGGTGTACCAGCATGGAGCATGGAGGGGTGAAGCAAGATCTCTTGAGGTTTTCATGTCATGGAGAGTGGTTGTGTTGCTGTTTGTCTAGCTCCATGTCCATGGACATTGCTGAGTTAGTGAGTTTTTCCCTGTTCTCTCCCAGGGTCAGCCCTGCCTCCCATTCCCTTCCTCTCTTCATCCTGTTCAGGAAACTGGTTGTCAAGATGTGAGTGCTCAACTTCTAAAGAGAGCCTGAAGTCAGTAGAAAAGATGGGAGAGTAAGGCCATCGCTAAACTTTGTAAAAACAATTTCAAAATTAAAAAAATGCCTCATCTGTAAATTGTAAAACTTGTGTTTTGATTAGTTTGCGTTGTGCTATGTAGCCTGTTGAAAGACTGGTTAGTTGTGTATTCATTTAGCATTTGGTGCTCTTGTCAACAGGAAGAAGGTGGATAACGACTACAGTGCCCTTCAGGAAAGACTCAGAACCTTGCCTGATAAGCTGTCGTATAATGTCATGGTAGGTTTGCCCGCTTCTTTTACAGACTGTGCTGTCTCTAAGCATCCTAGCTTCGAGACTGGAGGGGCTTTGCTGTGTGCATATCGCTTTACAGGTGGCCCAGCTGATCGGCTGCAGTCAGGGGTAACTGATGCAGCAAGGGAGCCTTGTTTCCTTATACCTTATTACAGTAGCTGTGGGGACACTTGGTGTTTACTTTTCTTTTTTCCATATATGTAATTATATTACAGTGACATAAATGCTTGCACAAAATTTGACACATTTGTTGTGCAGACATACAACATAAAAATGGTAAGGACAACAGGGTACAGTGGTCATTTCCTGTTAGCCAGAGCAGGAACAGGCCATTGTGATTTGTAGGTCACAAAATTAAATCCTAGAGCATTGGTTTTTGTATAAAAAGGTGCTGTTAGTTTCTGTCTTAATGTCCGTTGTCTTGCATAGTGATCTGTCCCAAGTCTGGATTGAAGGCTTTCATTGTGTGATGACTTGGTCTTGTTATGTCAGCCCATGCACTTTGTAACTAGGAGACTCACTGAAGCTGTTGCTTTATTCCTGCTTTGTAAAAATAAAATAATTTTCATTTTCTTTGCCAAAAGTATTCTCCATTGACAGTATTTCACTACTGTTTTGGTTTCATTTAGGCTGAAGAATTAGTGGAAAGTTTAAGTGTTCAAGTCAATACTACTTTCTCCAAGAGTTACATGCCAGTATGTTACAGATTTGTTGTCTGCTTTAACATTGATTCACTCCCTTAAAGCACTTTTCTAGGTGAAATTTTATTTTTTTTAAAATCTTCATTAACTTTATTTATTTATTTATTTTTTACAGTGTTTTTTTTTTCCTTTTTCTTTTATTATTCATATGTGCATACAAGGCTTGGTTCATTTCTCCCCCCTGCCCCCACCCCCTCCCTTACCACCCACTCCGCCCCCTCCCTCTCCCCCCCCTCAATACCCAGCAGAAACTATTTTGCCCTTATTTCTAATTTTGTTGTAGAGAGAGTATAAGCAATAATAGGAAGGAATGAGGGTTTTTGCTGGTTGTATGTTACAGATTTGTTGTCTGCTTTAACATTGATTCACTCCCTTAAAGCACTTTTCTAGGTGAAATTTTAATATAATGGTAACTTTCTGTGAAAATACAATGTTTTTCCAAAAAGAGCTTAATAATAATGTAGGGCTGTACTGCTAAGTGTCTGAAAAGGTATGTTTTTTAGTGTTTTAAGTTTGTCCCTTTTCCTTCCTTTTTTAATCAATAGGTTCCATTTGGCCCCTTTGCCTTCATGCCGGGGAAACTTGTCCACACTAATGAAGTCACTGTTCTCCTGGGGGACAACTGGTTTGCGAAGTGCTCAGCCAAGCAGGCTGTGGGTCTCGTGGAGCACCGGAAGGAACGTGGGTACCCATGAATTGTTCTGTGTGTGTGTTGGCTCACAGTTACAGCAATACTTCCATGATTTACTGGCCTAGGCTCTTGGGAGTTGCCTGAATTGTAGGTGGTTGGAGTAGGGCCAGCAGCTGAGGATGAGCTGTAGAGCAGGAGAGTCCTGTTTCAGAAATGACAGAGTGGGATAGAGGTCACTACATGTCACATGCGGTTCTATACATGGGAGCTGGGTACATTTTATAAGTGGTTTGTCTTACTTGCTTTCAGAGATTTCTACTGTTAATACTTTAGTGCTCAGAAGTGATTTAGTGAAAGAAGTACTTATTTGGAAAGGAAGAGTACTTACTCTTAAAAACACCTGTTGGCTTAGGAAAATTCATGTTCTTATTTTGTATAGGAGATCAGGTGTGGAAAGGTGCCCCTAAACTGGTACCCTGTGCTTTTGAAGTGGTTTGTGGTCTCTGCCTTTGGTTACTAAGGCAGCTTTGCTTTTGCTGCTCCTTGGTATTATCTCTTGTGTGTGTATACAACATATTGCGGCGGGGTGGGTAAGATTGGGGTCTAGCTTAGTTGTATCTTAAAATATGTTGTTTCTGTAACAGCATGTTCACATCGATAGTATGATATCATCCTTACCTGGTTTTCAACCTTCTAATTAAATGTGTTTGAAAATAAGTTTTGCAAGGAGCCTTCTGTATAGATGAGGTTGTACTAGATGGAAAAAAGCTGAGTGTTCCAAAGTTGAGATTATTTCACTTATGCAAGAGTGGTACTAGTTAGAGAACTCATTTACTCTGAAATTCTGGGAACTATATTTGGGGACTCTTAATTGTAAGTCAGCTCCTATAAGTTCATAATTGATACATATTTTGATCTTTTGTGACATTAATCAGAATCTTATTGTTAGGACTATGTATACTTTCTGGCAATGATAAATCTTTGGCTTTGCTACATTAAAATAAGTTCTGTATATTAGATGAAGGACAAAGGGCACAATTCTTTTTTAGAGACCTTTCTCAGCAGAGAGGGCTTTCCTTATCTGCTGTGTATCTCTGCAGAAAGGAAATCCGTTCACAGCCTGCTGAAGTTTCTCCACTTTGACTCTTTAGAATCAGTTATGGTTTAAAATATTCGTGATGGAAGACTTGTAATACAACAGAACAGAGTTTTAGGGTAGAGAAATATTTTTTGGTCAATCACTTTCCAGTAGTTAAATGTGGTTTTGGGAAGTAAGTGACCCAACATGATGACTTTTGGATCCATATTTATCTGAAATAATTTTCACAGTATGTATTTATGTGCCTGAGAACCCAGTATGATGAATGAATCCTAAGTTGTTCTGTTCAAAGTTTTGTAGTAATTTCCAGTAACTGAAGTGTGCGTAGGTGTGTTGTTATCCCTAAGCTTTCTTAAGAGAAGGTACAGTCGTCTCCCTCACTCAACAGGGATTCGGAACCTCCGGTAGTGCCAGCCCTGCAATTCAAATGTGTCTTGTGGCCCTACCTTTTGCAGTTTCAGACATGGCATCAAAACTCGCACGAATTTCCTTTTGCTCACAATTCCACAGATAAATCTTACAACCACAAATAGGGTGCAACAACCTCAGACACACACACACGCAATTTTTTTTTTTCTTATGTCAGTGGAGGACTTTCACCTCTCCCTTGAGGGCGTTCTTCACAGCGGCATTGCTCACTTGCCAGTAAGTAAAATAAGGTCTGGGTGAGCACAGGCCACCTGATAGGCTGGCCTGTGAGGTGTGTGTGTGTGTGTGTGTGGGGTGTGTGTGTGTGTGTGTGTGTGTGTGTGTGTGTGTTGGGTACTTTTTCCCTTCAGGCAGAAGAGCTATAACAAGTGAAACAATCACTTGCTTCAGTGTTGACTAGGACATTGGACAAGGTAGAACAAGGTCTTGCATGTCAAAAGGGCAGTCACAGTGAGGGCTAATGGGTTCAGTCACACCCACAGCTACAAAGAGCTCACAGGATGGAGGCTTCCTTAAGGAAAGAGGGCAAGCCCAGGACTCTACCCTTTGTGCTTATCTCTTATATTTTTGTCAAAAGATTTTTAAATGTTAAGTTACCATGTAGTGGAATGGCCCTTTCATTTGGCGTACTGTTCTGTGAGTGATGACACAGGCATACTCTTGTTTAACTGTTGCCATGGACAGGACACAGGATTACATCTGCACTCCCTCATGCTGGCCCTGTGTGTCAGATGTGGTCACACCCTGCACCAACTGCTAAGGTTGGACAGCCACTGACTGCTGTAAGTCTTCATGGATTTCTTTCTCTGGAGTGTTGTATACTTGCGTACCCAGGTCTTTGGAGAAGGGCAGGTGGTACATGTCAGCTGTGCCCATTTAGTGGTTGCTGCTCAGTTCTCCCTTTATGTCCTTCGTCCCCTGACCCACTGGGGGCAACTGGCTTTGGCCATTTCTCCCTTCACTTCCATCAGTGCTGGCTTCAGGTATTTGGAACTTTAATGTCAGGTCCTTACACATTTAGGATGGTCATGTCTTCTTGCCAGATTGACCCCCTTACCATTACTTCATTTTTTCTTTTACCCCTCATAATTTTGTCTATTTTATGCGGTGTTAATAAAAGTTCTTTTGCTTAATGTTTGCCTGGTATATATTTTTCTATCCCTAACTTTAATGCTGACTACATACATATAATATGTGATGTCCTTCCTTTTTAATCCATTCTGATAATCTCTTACGTCTTTCAACTGGTGTTTTTAAGCCACTTGTATTTCATGTGATTACTAGTACACCTGATTTAGGTTTAGCGTTTTCCTGTCTTTATTTTGCCAGCTCTCTTTTGGATTGCTTATTTTTTGTTTTTAATGTTTCATTTCTCTAGTGCTGCAAAACATGAAGTTTTAAAGGTATTTTTAAGGTTACAAGTTAGGTAGTAATACACTTTTTCATGAAATTAATGTTTTACTTTCAATACGTGCTTTGAGTTTTTCTGAATTCTTTTAGGTTTGAGGGCAATTTTTCTTTTGAAAGGAATGTACCCCTAGTGAAAAGATGGGGTTCCAAAGACAGCGGAGACATCTTTGTTTCCCTTTGGCTCCACAATCTCATTCAGAGACATGTAGGATGATCTGAAATCTAGTGCCGTGTCTTAGAAGTTCCACCTGTCACTAGAACACTGGCCACATTCCTATTGCAGTGATTCACCTCAAACAGCTGGCTTTACAGAGGGGTAATCTTGATCGATTTTGCTTCTAAAGACACCCCAGAAAATGATTTCACCACATGACTTCAAGAAAGCACATTATTTTTTGTGTCAAGAGATTTACCTGGCACCTGTATGTTGTTTCTTTTTTTCACTTTTAAACTCACAAATGCTCATTTAGTCTTTTTTTTTAGGTGAAGTTAATTTTTTAGTGGAGGGTGGGGATGAAGGGGAAAATGGTAAAGTTGGTTCACACCAACCAGAGGCTAGGTGGGACCCACAGAGCCCATCAGGTGTGAGGGGGGAGGGAATGCACCCTGGAGGCAGGGTTGATAGCAGTCACTGCTGTTCAGGTAAGTGCAGGCTGGCACAGTGTTCTTAGAAACCCCATTATGAAAAAGTCGCATTAATTGTGCTTAAAATTGAATTCCCAAATTGAGAAATATTTTTTTCTGAATGCCTGTTGTCTTACCAAGGACTTTAGGCAAAGTCTTGGTTTAGTAGTGCATCTTCACACAGATTTCAGAAGAGCAGCAGTGGATGATGAGAAATTTGACACCAAATGGTGTATGCTCCCAAAGTGCCTTTCCTGAGCAGAGTGACAGGAGAAGAAAGACTGAAGGTGAGACCATTCACAGGAGGGCTCTTTTCAGATAAGAGTTTTTATAGGACATGGCACAAAATTTAAAGGGTATTTATTGAGACCCAAGTGTCCTTCCTTCTACCCTTGACCACCCCTGTTCCCTCCTGGAGGTATCACTAGTTCATTTCACTTCTAGCTATGGGTGGAACCCTCCCACTGCTGTGCCACTCAGAGGTGGCACATTTCTGTATCTTATTATTTATTTATTTTTGGTGGCACTGAGGTTGGACTCAGGGCCTCATGCTTGCTAGGCAGGTGTTCTACCATGTGAGCCATTCTGCCCCAGCCCTGTTTGTCTTTAGGATTTGAATCTTTTTTTTTTCTTAGACAGACTAGGAAAAGATTTATCAATTTTAAAGAAAAAAACTACCGATTGCATCAATTTTTCCTCTTATTTTTCTATTTGCTGTTTTATTTATCTCCTTGTAATCTTTCTGCTAGATTTGAGCTAAGTTCTCTAGTGTGGCAAAGACTTGAGGTTTTAATGTCAGCGTCAGTGGTCCTGGCTCTGTGCATCCCGCCGGTTTCCATAGATGGTTTATTATTTTCTCTGATCTCAGGCTCTTCCCGGTTACTCTCACATTTTTTCTTTGTATGTTGTTCAGCCACTCAATTAAACTCCCACTATTTCTGAGGTTTTTGGTCTTCCTCCCGTTCCATTTTGTTTGGAAAGCATGCTTGATATGATTTTAGTCCTGTTAGACTTTTTGAAATCTAGTCTGTGTCCTGTTGTGTGGACTCTGGGGGCTGTTCCGTGTTTCCCTGGAACAGAGCGTTCTCCTGTTGCCAGGTGGAGTTTGCGGTGTCTGTCTCTTAGGTCCTCTCTGTCTGCAGTGTTGTTGGCATTTTTTATTTATCATTACTCTACCTGGCTATCCCAGCTCACTTTTGAATTAGTGGCCCCTCTAGCTGTTACTGTAAAGCTAAGGATTTCTCCCTTTAATTCTCAGTTTTTGCTTTATGTTCCTGGGGGTCTGTTAGGTTTGTATATGTCTGTACTGATTTATCTTTTTGGTAGATTGAGGCTTTCATCAATGTCACATGGCCTTTGTCTCTTGTAAACTTTTTTTCTTAAGAGTTTGTTTAGATTTTACTGTAGCCGTTCCAATTCTCTTTGGGTTATTTTTTCTTTTGGGTCTTTGGTAGGGAGTGCCCTTTCCATCCTTTGACTTTTAACCTC